TCCTTGACCTCCATCGTGCCTCGTAGCGCTACGTTCCCAGTTGAGTCTACATTGGTAGTCAGTTGCTGACACTGGGCAAGATTCAGGGATAAATCCCATCCAGCCGACCAGCTGCAAACTGTGTTAAGTTCTCACCCGGTATCTGCACATCTTCCGCAAAGATAAAGCAGGAGCCGTGAAATTCTAGCGTGATATCGTTGATGAAAAGAAGGGGCCCAAGAACAGAGCCTTGGGGCACCCCGCTTGTAACCCTCTTTGAGCGCGAAGTGTATCTGCCAACCAGTACAGCGAAGCTACGGTTGCTGAGAAATGGCTTCAACTACTGAAGCGCTGGCCGGACTATTCCAAACTTTGGTAGTTTCCTGTCAAGCAACGTAAGACTCACCGAGGTAAAAGCCCTGCTGAAGTCTAAGTAGCATACCTCCACTGCGCCATCCTGATCTAATCGACGTGTAGTCCCGTCCAAAAACATAAGTAGATTAGTTAAGCACGACTTATTTCTGGTAAACCCGTGCTGTGCATGAGTCACCAGTTGCGCACATATTTGTCTTCTGATTATTCGTTCAAGGCACTTGCACAGTAATGATGTTAAACTGACCGGCCTGTAGCTTTCCGCCTTCTGTCGATACGGCGTCTTGTATACTGCTACCATGGTTGCCTTTCGCCAGTCCTATGGCACTACCCCACAGTTCAGTGATGCCTTAAACAATTCATTGACAGGTTCTAGTATGACCTCAGCTAGTGGCTGGACAATAGCTGGGTGTATCTCATGTGGGACTGCCACCGTATGCTTGCACAGGCTTCTGAGCTCGGTTTATACCTCGTCCTTGCTCACTATTAACATCTGAAGTTCGTTTCCAATGGTATATCCAGAGGACTCCGGGCTCCATCACCATTGGACGAACGATAGACACCTTTGAAGTAGTCCATCAACGTCTCAACCCGGTCCTTAGCTGCTCTAGCTATGTTACCGTCAACCATCTACAAGGTCCTAACACTTTCACGTGTGGTTCCCCTGGATTGTACATGAGCAAAAGACCTCTTCGGGTTTGTTTTAATATTTTTAGCTAATATTTTTTCTTACTCTAACTTGGCTTCCCGCTGCACTGCCTGTGCCTTACTTCTAGCCAGCTTGTAGTTGACCCAAGAACTATGCGTTCCGTGAGGCTTGTAGAAAGCCCAGCACCTACGAGACGTGAGCGCTCTTTCTATTCTAGGAAACCACCAATGAGTTTTGCTCCAAGATTTATGCTGAACCAAGGAAGCAAACTCTTTTGATAGCCGTAGTAACCCGTCTCGTATTTTTACCAATCGCTCTTCAAATGATGGTCAAATTGAAACAGGAAACCAGATTATGCTCTCAGCAGCTACCTTTAAGTGCTCCTCGTTGATCCTGGCGTAGTTTCTTACTGGCTTAGAATTTGACATTTCGTGTCTCGCGACAAAATGTAGTCGCAATACCCCATGGTCACTCTTTTCTAACGGCTCTTCCGTCATAAGAGAAGTGGAGTCTGTTCTGTACCTAGTTATAATTAAGTCTAACGTTTATGGACGATGTTCACCTGTGAATCGGTTGGGTAGTTTGATGTGTTGCGCCAGTTTATGTTGATGCACCCAGCGCAAGAGTTAATCATGAGCGGTGCCTCTTGGCGCGCTTACGTTGTCCCAGTTTATTTCTGGCAGATAAAAGTCACCCATAATGAGGAATCGCGATGACTCCCTCACTATGTTACCTAGGAGTGCCACTAATGCAGAATCCGCTGCCCTATTAGACTGCGGCACCCCGTAAACACAGAGCACTCCCACCGGTCTACCCCCAAACGGACAAAGCAGGACGTGGCCTGTATGTTCGATGTGGTTAAGGTAAAAGGGACCTCCCACTGGCAGTATTCTGCGCTTAAAAGTAGTAGTACCCCGCCACAGATCCAACCGTCTAATCTATCCTGCCTGTACCGGATGCGATTGTTGGGGGTCAGTAACCCCCTGGTCCTCCCTCAACCACGTCTCGGTGATACCAGTAATAGCGCTTGTGTGGGGGTTCTCGCCATTGGTTCACCCCATTTACTTCCTAAGCTGCAGGCATTTGTATACCAGAAATCGGTAACATCGACCTGCGTTATAGGTTCCTTTGAACATGTACCTCTTGGACCCTCGGGCGGAGTACCCGAGAGTGTACTTCGTTTTTTGCTTTTATATTTTCTGCTCTGGTGGGTTTCTGCACCTACCAGGAGATGCCGTTTTAAATCAAGGAGACATTTTAACGACCATTCGAGTACCACAATAACCCTCCCGGTTGGCCTCCTAGTCTCACCAAATGGGGTCGGCACCCTGTAGTTCCCAGTTTTCGCAGGCGGCGTGCGAGCAACAACGGTTGCACAGCTAACCCGAGTTCCTTGATCACTACTGCAAAGATGCTCACATAGTATTGGCGAGGCTCGATGTACTCGAACCATGCCTTTCACTACTGCGATTTGTTGCTTATCCTGGAGCACTTTTGGAGAAAGTCTCGTGGCCAGTGAACTATTCACAACAGTTTTGACCCTGATCGCTACCGACCCATCTTTACCGGAAGCAGGTTTTGCCTTCGGTATAGATCTACTGAGGGGCAGTTTTCTCTCTTGGTGAGTCGTATAATCGGTTCCCTCAGTTTTGGCTCGGCTACTCTATACGCCTCTTTGGATTGAGTAGTATTGACACTAAAGGGAGAATCTGGTGTGATTCTCAAGTGTCCCCTAGTGCTCAGTTTCACTCTAGCAGCCCTTCCCAGAAGCAGGTCTCTCCTATGAGTTTTATGTAACAATATCAACAGTGGGCGTGGATGGTGTGACTTGGGACCCTTCCACAGTCCAATCGTATGACGCTTGCTGTATTTTGTATCAACTGGTAACCCTCCCAGTCTAAAGGCATTCATTACCTGCCTGTGCTTTATCTCCCGTCTAATCTTCGCCTCGTTCACTAACGGTTTTGCGCAATTGTGCAACGGAAGTCTTTTGCTCCTTACAAAAGCCCCTTTGGTGATAACTTGAAGTTTTGAAGTGACTCTCGGGTTTGAGGCTGGCACCCATTGATCCCGGATCCTTGATGATTTCTTGCTGTTCTTGTATGATGCAACGGGAAAATCCAAAATAAACTGGAGGGGAAATATCTCGTCCTACCCGGGGACTAGCGATGCTAGTTATTCTGGCAAAATTATTAATAAACTTAAAAAAGTGCTACAGCAAATGGGCAAAAGCATAAAAGCATAAAAAATGGCTACTGTTGATGGCCTTCATCTTCGCGATTTCTGCCTTCGAATCATTTATTTCCTACCGTAGCGCCTCCTAGCTGCCCGTCGATGGCTATTTTGTCAGCTTTATCTTTTTCCCCTGGGGTATTTGCTTTGGGCTTCTCGTAGCCAGTGCCCGCTCACACTTGGTGTTTCCCTGCGCCGCATTTTGAGAGAACTGCTCTCGCCGATAATTTGCGTCTTATGTCTTTAACCGAAGAGAGCCTGGCAGTAAGTGACCTCAAGTACACATGCGTTCGTATACACAGATTACATTTGACAGGACAATTAGTTTTATAGTTATTCTAACATTCAAGCCTGAGTTTACACAATTCCACAAACTTCCGGCTAAAGTCGAATTTATTTTTGATGTTTCCACTCCAAATATTAACTTCGGAGAACGTTGATGACCAACACGCGTCCAGGGCCACTTTGAAGACATTAACATTGGCGCAATTCACCACTTCTGCGGGTAACCTAATCCACATATGTATGACCCTGTGTGCGAAGAAGTCGGCTCGTACATCCAATCTGGCGTGGTTCTGCTGAAGTTTATAGCGATGACCTCTCTTGTTTTGAGCACAAGGAATCGTAAACAAGTCATCTAGGTTGACTCTCTATCAGATTCTCCCTCACTCTTCTACGATCCAGCGGAAAGAGACAAAGATCGTTTGAGCATTTCCGCTCGAATAGTGTCGTTGCTACCTGGACTAAAACGTCCTTCGTATAACCTTGTTTCTTCACTTGAACTATCCTGCCTCTGCCACCTGATCCTCTTCTGTCTGGTATCTTGCCTGCTGAATTACTCTTAACTTTAGCCAGGATCTCTCTTGCTTTTTTATTTTCACTTTTGCTTCCTATATATCTTATCCTCGACCAATGCCCACGTCTGATGCGTCGGTGATAAGAGTTGGACGTTTCGCCGGAGAGAACGAGGCGAGTACCGGTCGGTTAGTTATCATCTGTATGGTTTCACGCAGAATTCGTTCACACTTGGCCGTCCATTTTCAGTCTGCACTTGACTGAGCGGCAAACAGCGGTTGGGCTTTTGTGGAGAAGTTAGGGATGAAACGCGAATAGTATTGGAGGCATCCCTCGATGTATCTGAGTTGGTTTTGGTCTCTTGGTGACTCCAATTCAGTTAGTGGACGAAAGCGACTTGGATCGGGGCGGTAGCCTTTTTCATCAACTGTGAAGCCCAGGAACTCCAATTCTGGGGAACAGAACATGCACCTGGAAGCACGAATTGACACGTTCTTTTGGGCGAAACGTTCCAGGAGATTAGTGAGGCGTTCGTCATGTTCGGCTTTTGTTGCACCAAAAACAATGACATCATCCTGATACGCTAGGACGCCATCAAGTCCATGAATGACTTCGTCTATGGCCGCCTGGAATATGCCGGAGGATGTGTGGAGACCAAATGGTAGAAAGTTGTACTGGTATAATCCCCATGGTGTATTGATCGTGGTGAACTGGTGGCATGCGGGATCAAGCGGGATCTGGAGGTAGGCGTCAGACAAGTCAATCTTGAAAAAACATGAGTTGCCATGCAAAACTTTCATTAAGTCTTATGGTTCCATGCTAGTGGTCGCACACCTTCGCAGCCGGGGTTGAGTGTTAGTCTGTAGTCACCACAAATACTTGGTGTCTTACCATCACTTTTAATTGCGATCACAATTGGTGCTGCCCAAGGGCTGGATTTTACTCGTGTGAGGATGCCGTCATGCTCAATTTTCTACAGAGCTTTCAACACACCTTCACGCTGGCCATATGGGATGACACGGCGTTTCAAAAAGATACGTTCTCCTTCAACTTCCAGTTCGGTCAGTCGAACTTTCATGCCTCCTGTGGTATTTGAACATTGCACAATCGGTTGCCGTAGATGGGTGTGCACATTGGGCAGGGAACTCGTATGGAGCGGCATAGAGTGGTTCAGAGCGCGAATTTCAGTTAGGCCAAGTATGGATGGACTCTTTTTCGCAATAAGGAAGCGGGTTGGGACAAGGCGATTTTCTGTTGAGCGAACCATCAATGAAACCTCGCCAATAAATGGTAATCGGTGTCCAGTTACGCCAAGAATTCGCATGGATGTCGGTTGGATTTTTGCTTAGGGGCATATAAATCAGAGCACAGCATTAGAAATAATAGATTCCGTACTTTCCGTGTCAACAATGAATTTGTGAGTTGTACCAGACTGTAGTGTCACATCTCGGTTCAGGAATTGGGTGGCTGAGCCTTCAGAACGTAGAGAGAGCACAAGGTGTGTCGTTTGAAGCATTTGGCTGTGTAAGATTGCAACGAGTTTGTTTGCATACTCTCCGAATGTGGCCAATTTTTCCGCAAGCATGAAATTTAGCATTACGAAAGTGGCAATTGGAGCGTAGGTGGTGATCTCCACAAGACAAGCATGGATTGATTCGTTTTTCATTA